AAAGAAAAGAATTGATTTTATTATTTTCTACACTTATTGATGTTGAATTAGCAGTTACATCTTTTCCTGAAGTAGATGGTTCTTCTAACTTGACAAAATTCATGATACTGTTAGAAGAAACTCTGCAGTTGAGAAGGGAAAGATGTTTTGCAGCTAAAAGGGGCATTACATGCAAGGCATTAGTAAAATTAAGTATCGCATATATATGTATATAATGTGTATATATATATATATATATATAAGAAATATATACTGAAAATATACATTTTTTACTATATATATATACAGTACAAATTCCGAGATCCGGACATCCAATATCTGGAATGATCTAAAATCCGGACCTCAAAGCCACCACCAACCAATTTTTTAGGGCTTTTTTGGAGGGAAGGGGTATGCTTTACGCATGCGCATTAGATTTTTTTCCTCATCATAAAAAAACATGCCGGAAATCCCGATTCTTAATCTCAGTTTGGCGCTAAATAAAATATCTCATTATTGAAGAAATAATTATTTTAGCATAAATTTGTGTGATTAGTAACTTGACTCCATAGCTGCGTATCTGCTTGGCATAATCTCAAACCGAAACATTTGTTAATTTTACACCAACTAATATTTTATATCCTTGATGCCGAAATCGCGAATCATTATTTATTGTATTTTGCTTTCATCACCGCATGTTTATCAACGGATGACAACTTGAGTGATGACTCATGCAGCGACGCCAAATAACAGAGTATTATCCGATTACAGATTTAAGTTTAATGCGCTAAAATGTTGACAAGGGGAGATTTAACAGAAATTTCTTTCCTTATGCTAAAAATAGATTTTGTTAATGATACTCATAGGACAAACGATTATATTTAGTGCTATTTGAATTAAGAATAACTGATTTGTTATTCACATAAAGCCAGAACCAGCGCCAGAGCTCGCATGGCCGCACCAGGCGGCAGAATTTAGGGAAGTTAAACAGAAGTTTTTCATTGCGATGACAATGCCCCAATCATCAATCAATTAACGGAGGGCGAAATCTGTAGTATGGTTCTAAATCCAGAAAATACAGCTACCGATAGTGAAGAAAGTAACAGAGAGGTTACTGAACGAGAAAAAATTTTGATTGACAAGTTATTCGGAATTCTCGACACAGCAATTACAGGACTTGAACAATGGAACTTAATAACTGAACAAGAAATTATATGTCTATAGTATTAGTCTAAAGTATTAGCAGAGAAAACAAACCAACTTAAACAACTTACATTGAAAGAAATGTTTAATAAAGTAAACATATAAATATTAAGCTCTTTTCTTTGTAAATTTTGATACCCTTTAAATCATAAATGCTTCATTATTTCATAAATCACGATTTTCAATTTTATAATTTCTACGTGCCATCTTAGTAGATTTAAAATGATCTAATATCCGGAAAAATCTCAAATCTGGGATCGCCGAAGTCCCGAACCTCGGACTTTGTACTGTATAAATATATATATATATATATATATATATATATACATACGGAATGTATATTTTCAGTTAAACTTCTACCCAATAACTTTAGTAATTCATGAAAGTTAATTTTGCGTCTAGTTAATTCAGGAAAATTAGTTTCAATTAGTTGTTTTTCAGCTTTAAAAATATTTAAAAATTTTTTTAATCGCCATTAGCAAAAATAATGCATTACTATCAACAGCATAGGATTTAAACCAAATACTTAATTGTCTATTGAAGCTTCAAAATGTATTTCCGAACTTCACTTTTTCTCGGCTAGCGTTTACCGAATTTGCCCTTGGCGACCTAAAATCGAAATGGAGCCAACAGATTTCCCGCGAAATCGATAACAGACCCTCTGCAGAAATAAACTCATAATCCCGATATCCCATACATATAGTATGTGCAAAAGAGAATAAACTCCGTAGAAGGTGATAAAAAATTAATTTATGGCTTAATTGAAACAAACACAGAAATTAAGCTAAGCAAAAACCGTGTAAAAACAAATTGAAACGAAACTTAATTTTCATGTGAATTTTCAGCGCTGACTCTCTCCATTCTAGAAATTTCAATTTGTTTCAGACAAAGACCACATTTAGCTTTATAAGGATTGTCCATCCATCAATATCCAGTCTTTGTAGTCAGCTTGATGAAGCCACAGTTTATTGAAAATGCACTTTCCAGGCATCTCGTTCCTATTGGCGTCGGAAGGGTTGTGGCCTTCCAGGTTGGAATTGCTCTAATTTTGGCAAATATTTTCAGAATCCCCCCTCCTTTTTTTTTTCTCTCGAGCACCTTCATCATCACTTTCGCCTCTTAAAGAACTTCCGGCTTCACGCTTTCGTCACAATCTGCCTAAATTTATGGATAACACCTGTTTCGAAAGATTGGGTGAATAGCCAATCAGACACCGATACTTTCGTTCGGGTAGCTAATTGTTTTTTATATATTATCGTTTGCAACGCAAATCCGCCAACAGATTGGTTAAGAGCCGTGCAATTTTAATTCCATATTCATGAGAAATCGCAATTCACACATAGAATGGCAATCATTAGAAATGATAAGAAATGTCAAATGAGCAAAATTAAAGACCGTTTATTCATTTTGGCCAAATTAAGGACTGTATGAACCCTGATTTAACATAACTGGTGTTGCTTTCTGCGGCCCGTTTGCAATAAAGTTTAAGAATCAGTGTAAGGGAGTTTTTAACAAAATTTATGTCGTAGTATATGTATGTATGAGTACAAAAGATATACACCTAGACTTTGTGACAGACCAAACTAGCCAATCTTTTATTTCAAGCTTAAAACGTTTTTTCTCTAGAAAGGGAAAATGTACTGGAATAATGAGTGATAATTCTAAAACCTTTATTGGTACTAGTGTAAAACTCAAAAAATTGCAAAAATTGGTAGAGTGTCCAGATGAGAATTTATCGAGTTTTTACACCACTGAAGGTGTAGGGTGGAAATTTATTCCTCCAAAGTCGCCAAATTTCGGAGGCCGGGGTTAAATCATTTAAGAGTCATTTGAAGAGAGTTATTGGTAATCAGTGTTTAACTTTAGAAGAGTTTTTAACTGTTTTAACTGAAATTGAAGGAGTACTGAACTTAAGACCTCTTACTCCAATTTCAGCTGATTACAATAATTTGGAAACTTTGACCCCAGGTCACTTTTTGGTTGGTAGACCTATCACAACTCCAGTTGAGCCAGATTTATCCAACATAAATGAGAACAGACTTTCTAAATGGCAAAGAATCACTAAGTTTGCACAAAAAATTTGGAAATTATGGAAACGTGATTATCTTAATAATTTACAAGAACATCACAAGTGGAAATTTTTAAAGGATGACGTTTAGTTGGGAACTCTTGTATTAATAAAAGATGAAAATTTGCCTTCAACCAAATGGTTAGTGGGGAGAATAGCTGAGGTTTTTCATGGTAGGGATAACAAAATAAGAGTAGTAACTGTAAGATTGCCTAATCAGCATTTGCTGAAACGAAATGTTCGAGATATATGTATACTTCCTGTAGAATGATGGTTTATTTCTATTATAAACTGGTATTTGTTGTAATGATTTGAATTTTTATTTTCAATATTGTGATTTGTTATTGTGAAGTAATTTATTGTAGTGCCTTTATATTTACATTTATTGAAATAATAGTTTTGAAATTGTTAATTTCAACGCCGAGAGTGTTTTGTATTAGCTGAGAAATTCTTGGCGCCGCCGGAATTGGCGTTGAAATGTATTCTGTGAAAAACTTGATTTTGTGGTACATTGGAAGTTGTGATTTATATGTTACGCTGTAAGGTGGAACCTAGCGCCTGAGTGTCGCTATGGAAAATAAATGTATTTAAACTGTGTAATGTGTGTGGAGTTATTTTATTATGATATACAGCTATCGACAGGAAATAGAATAAGTCATTTCAAGTATGGACAACTGATCTCGCATTCTATTAAAAGGCAGAGCAATGGAGATTTTAAAATACAGCACAGTCACAGCTATTAAAACTTAAGCAATGTATATGGCCAAATTACCAGATATATGGACTAGAAGGTAAATGAGATATGTACCTAACGGTACCTCCCACCCATCAGTGATGATGAAGAAGGCAAGCTTCCAGTGTTTGTTTTCCTCATTGCCTCTAAACACAGATACATCCCTCACGAATATGTAAACAAACAAACAAACAAACAAACAAAAAGTTTAAAATAAATAAGTGATTTGATATAAATGATGATGTCATATCACTAATGGATCTATATCAGTCACTGAACACACTACAGTAAGAGCTCATTCCTATGTTGTAATAATAGGAAAATTAATAGAATGGTCATTCTGCTGAAAAACCATGGTGCAGCAGGTGCCACTGAACTGCACATGCTAGTATTTGGAGTTCATGACCCATGATACCTCATGGCGTCATCTGGCTGTATAATTCCTACCAATGATGTGAATATGATGTCAGTCTCTCAGGCATTGGAAACTGGAGGCTATTGAGACTGACCACGTGGTGTGGGCTTTCTTGGACTTAATGATTCCAAATTCTCATAACAGTAATCGAATCTTGATGACTGCGAACAGAAAGAGTGCCATACAATAACCTGCAGTCTCATTAGACACCAATTCTTCTGTGATCAAAATATGATACATGCTGGTTAAGTTCTTTTTTATGCAAAGCATAATACAAGTCCTAACAACATCAATATTTTGTAATGTGTACATGGCATGAAATACTAATCATCTGCATAGTTTAGTATGCTTTAGCTTTTATGCAAATTCATATTTGTTATGCACTTCCTTCATGGTGGTCATCAGTTAGCAGATGATTAATGGATATTATTACACAGAATTAATAACCTGCTAAAATATAATATGTATGAATCACTTATTAACACATCAATTTAATGTAAGTTTGCAACCAAATGTACAGCATACACAAAATTGGCATAAACTATATTGAAATGCACTTTAAACTACAAAATTAAAATTACTTAAAGCAAATTCATAATTACTTAAAGCAACTTCAGGGGCTTCTGAAAGATTATTCTCTGGACAATTTTCAATTCTAATATCAGCATCATCAATATGAGATGGAAGAAAATCAGTATCAGGCGGAGTATCCGGTAAATCATCATCTGGATAAATGACCGCAGCATTAAGAAACATAGTATTGAAATAGAAACACAAAAAATCAGATTTGTCATTTACATTTAAATGAAAATTGCATTATATAAGTTTTATAAATAACTTTTATAGAAGTTACTTACACTTTTGAATTTTATATAAGTGTAGTACTATGCATTTTTAATTAAAATGCTAAAAAATAAAATTAGTCACAATTTAACTAATTATAAATATATAAGGCACAGTATAACTGTATTCACTTTATTAGCACTATGAATCAGTTCTGGTATCTTATACAGTCAAAGGTCGTTAATCTGGACTCGTCAGGACTTCGACGATTCCGGATTATAGATCATCAGTTTAAATCTGGTAAGATGGCATGCAGAAATTATAAAATTAAAAATATGAAACCGTAATTTATGAAATAAAGAACAATTATGATCTAAAGGGTATCAAAATTTACAAAAAAGCTTAATATTTATTTGTTTACTTTATTAAACATTTCTTTCAATGTAAGTTGTTTAAGTTGCTTCATTTTTTATGTGATAATACATTCTCTTTAATTCTATAAACAGACATAATTTCTTCTTCAGTTACAAAGTTCCGCTGTTCAAGTCCTATAATTGCTGTGTCGAGAATACCGACTAATTTGTCAATCGAAATTTTTTCGTTTTCAATAACCTCTGTCACTTTCTTCGCTTTAGTAAGGAATTATAAGCCAAATAAAATAAAAACATCTGCCCTGAAGATAAGGATAGTGCTGACAGATCAACTTCCAATTCATTGCGCGCCGCGGCATTAAAGATAAACAAAGGATACGCCTTTATCCATTTTTTGCAGCAATTCCACTTTTTGTTTAATGGACTTCGAAACATACTTTCGCTTTGTAGATCCTTTACATATTAGTAAATATATATCAGAAATTCTATTTGACATAATCGAAAGTTCAAGCTTACTTTTATAAAATTGCTCTAACAGTCTGCAAAAAATAATAAGCCGAATCCAATTCGAAGATTAAGGAACAACGCAATCTGCAACATTAACTGAATTAGATAATTTTAGCTTAGCTTATACCGTCCGTTATACATTAAATGCGCTTTCGTAAACGTATTTTGCGCACGCGCACATGCATATTTGCAGCCGTAAAGGTCTTACGCGCATGCGTCAACGGGACGTATGGGCAGAAAGTTTGTAGATTTGAGGTCCGGATTATGGGTGTCCGAATTAGCGACTTTTGACTATATATGTAGCAAATGTGCATTCCAGATGTCTTAAGTAAACTTTTTTATGGAAGAACACATGCATATGTTGTATATTTTGCTGTATTTTAAAATTTACGTTTTTTTTTTTTTTTTTTTTTTTTTTTTTTAAAGCTGAAGCATCATATGAGTTAAGATTGTAGATATTGCCCTCCTTGCTGAAACTTGCAGAAAGGAATACTGTATTTATTCATGTATTCAACCCTTTCTAATTTATCATATGTTATGAAAGCCGAAAATTATGCAAATAATTTAAAACGCGAAAACATGACTACAGTAAGAACATAGCAAATAAAAAGCATTCATAAATAAACAACTGATAACTATCACAACATTTCGCTGGTTTATACCATGTTGAAGAGACTAAAGGCAGACATTTTAGAATGTATCTGTCACTCACCAGTGATGATTTAAAAAAAAAAAAAAAAAAAAAAAAAAAAAAAAATCTCAGTATTTGATTTTATGTGATATACTAATTAGATTTACTTTACAAAATGAATAATTTTTAGTGGGTCAACATTAACAGTGTAAAACAGAAATACAGAAAACATACTTCTCGTAATGAGGATTAATACTATTCCTGCACATGCAATATATTATACAAGCAAATAAACAGTACTTATTGTACATACAAATGAAAAGCTACCTGATACAATAAATGCATTAGCACTGTTTCAAGCAAATCAATAAAACATAGTGTTGTACGGATAAATGATAAAGACCAGCTGATCGATTGCCATGCTCTTAAATAGTTGAATTCCTCATCAACAGCAATTAATGATTTGAGAGAAACTGAATTCAGTTGAACTTGCTATTCAGTTCATTTTTGATTTCAAGACATCCAGTTCTATTCCATTCCTTTCCTCAACATCCTGTTCACTTGCAATGAATCGAACTTCGGTACTGCTGTGAATCGTATACCTTTACTTTACTGGTTTATCTCCATCTGCCCTTCTAATTGTATCATATAACAGCACTCAGTTTGTGAATAATTTCTTTAGGATTTGCTGTCTTACAGACTACATGTAACTTAAGGACCTTATCATCAGTAATTTATAGAGATGAGGCTCCTGGTTTGCCTATAAACAGTAGAGTTGGATTGATTCTTTGCTTTTGACCATAGAATTTACCAGTAATTCTTGATCTAGTTGTTCTATAAATTAGCTGTAAAAATTGATTCAATTTTTTTAAACAATCTACAATCACAAGCTGAATGTTACACTACCGAAGAGAAGGAACTAGCACCATGGACAAAAAAGAAACCAACACTCCAACGATATTACATAGTGATATTAACATTACCAATATGCTGCTCATACGGTATAGTGGCTAGGGGAGTCTGACTGTAATACCAAAGGGCCCGGGTTCGAATCCCGGAGAAGGCATGGGTGTAAAATTGTCCGTCCCTTCATAGGAGGTAGTGGTGACCACTTATTAGTTACCTCCACAATAAAATGGCCAGCACTTCTGGCCTTAGTAGTGGGCAATGCCATTACAGGCAAGTGCCCACCATTGGGAGGAAAAAAATTACCAATATTTAATAAGACATATTCATTTTTATTTTTTCTTTCTTGAATCTCGTATATTCTTTTTGTTGTCCACTGCTAATCCATAGGCCTCAAATTATTCAGTGGTGCTGGAATAGCTGTCTGTTTATAGCAGCATTTTTCTACTTGTCACCATCTTAGTCACAGGTCAGTCTGTCTTTCAACGTGTTCAAAGCTATCGTCAGCATTAAATAACCCAGTTTACTTGAAGGTCTTCTCTATTACTGCTTCATTAATCAATGCCCATGCTCTCAAAATGCATAAAGAAATCAGTTCGTAAAGAAAGGAAAAAAAAAAAAAAAAACTATCATGGATGAATCCATTTCCAAATCTAGGAAAGCTCACTTTCCGAATACCTTAAGAAAGAGGAAATTACATGAATACTTAAAAACAATTTCAGAATCTTTTACTCGAAATACGAAAGTAAATACCATATATTCTGCAAAGTTTAACCCCTTCCTTCTTGCTTACGTCAAAATGACAGGTGAGGTTTCGCCCTCTATTCCTTGTGCCCATGATTTTTTTGGGCTGGAGAGTTCAAAAGCAACATGCCAAAAGGATTAAAACCTAATAATTTCTTTTGCCCGGAAAAAGTTTTATTTCTCACACCAGATGGTAGTACCAGAACAATATTTTATGCAATTAGAGATTGATAGTTTATTTTAAACTAGATGTCAGCATTAATCAAATGTGTATTTATGCTATGTGTTTTGTAATTTTATCGCTAGCTCAGTCACTTAGTTAGTCTTATTGTGAATGCACGTGGTTTCTGTTCTGTAATAAAATATACTTATACTTTTATTTCATACATTATGGAGTCAGATAGTGAATTGGATTCTGATTTTAGTATAAATAGATCTGAAAGTGATTCTGAAGTAACTGATTTTTATGAAAGTTCGGTTTGTGAATCTGAGAGCAGTGATGATGGATCTGTACTGTTGCCTGCACGATCATGGACTAAAATTGAATCTACTTCAGCAGATCGTGTACCCCCACGTTTTAAATTTTGGGGAACACCAAAGGGAAATATAAATTTTGATCCAAGTTCTGGTGTCTTACAATATTTTAAGTATTTTGTGAATGACAATTTAGTGGATTTCATCGTTTCGGAAACAAATAGATATGCCGAACAATGCCAAAATTCTCTAGGATTCCGCCTATCCCAAAATAGGAAACCTTGGATACCTGTCACAAAGAAAGAAATTCTTAAATTTCTCAGTATAGTTATTTTACATGGTATGGTATGGTATGGTATGGTATGGTAAAAAAAAAAAAAAAAAAAAAAAAAGATACGAAAATGTATTGGAGCAAAAAACATTCAATTTCAACACCTTATTTCAGAAGCATAATGCCTCGTAAAAGATTTTACGAAATACACAAGTTTCTACATTTTGTAGATAATGAAGATTTTGATTATAACACACATCCAAATCTCAAGCTACATAAAATCTGGCCAGTGTTACAGCACCTGAATGAATTGTTTCAAAGAGCTGTAACTCCTGGACGTAATATTGTAATTGATGAAACACTTATGCTTTTGAAAGGTCGTTTAGGATGGCAACAATATATGCTGAAAAAGAGATCCTGTTTTGGAGTAAAATCGTATTTATTATGTGAATCAAGTTCAGGGTATATATGGCATACCTGCCAACCTCTAAAGATAAAAATTCAGAAGAACACGAAGAATTAATATCATGCTTTGATATATATATATATATATATATATATATATATATAAATTATACAATAGAAAAAAGAAAATTGTACTTACATTAGTAAATCTCAATTAAGTAGTAACTAAAAAATTTATTAGGAAACATAAAACAAGAACTTAATGTTACACAAAAAAATTATTGCAATGAATTTAGAGAGCATTTTTTGGCTTTAGCCAAAAATTCTTTGGAAACAATTAGTTTTCTCATAACATTTAGCAATTAAAATGTTTTCTAGAGTTTTTGGTGAAATTGAAGAACGAAACATAGTTTTGTTTTTCTTCACAACACTGAAGACTCTCTCGCACTCAACATTACTGTGTGGAATTACGAGAATAGCACATAAAACTCTTGCTAGTCTATCATATTTTGGTGTTCCATCAGCTCTTTTTATTGTTTTTAAGGTACCAACAAGGACATCAAGTCTATCTTCTCCAGAACTGGCAAAGTCTTCAAACTGTGCAGCAGAAAATTGGTTCTGTAGTTCATCTAA